GCGCAGCTGTATTTTTTTCTTTTTCTGTTTCATTTATTTTATTTTATTTTAATTTAATTTTGTCTTTTTATAAACAAAAACTAATAAACAAACAAACTTTTGTTTTTTTTTTTTTCTGCTCCTCCCCCGGCGAACCCTCACCGGTGAGGTGTACATACACCCCAGAACCGCCGCCACCGCCGCCCCCCTGCAGGCCATCTGCTGGGGCTGGCGCCAGCAGAAAGTAGCAGCAGCAGCAGCAACAGCAGCAGCAGCAGCAGCAGCAGCCGCAGCAGCAGCTGCTGCAGCACGGCAGTTAACTGCAGCAGCAGAAACAAGCGCAACTGCTGCAGCAGCAGAACCCCTACATCCAACCCCACCACCAGCACCACCTCAACCACCAGCAGCAGCAGCAGCAGCAGCAGCAGCAACAGCAGCAGCAGCAACAGCAGCAGCAGTTTCTCTTACTATGGAAGTTGCAGACTCTGTGCTGCGTAGGGGTTCTACGTCGGGTCCTCTTCTCCGCTCTGGGGCCCCCTCTCTCATGGGGGCCCCCCCCTTGGGGGCCCCCCCCCTGGGGGCCCCCCCCCTGGGGGCCCCCCTAACAAGAAAGACAGAGAGAAGAGCAGCATGGGGGCCCCCCGCATACTCTGACACTGCGTTGGAGTGTATATACAGCCGGCTGTCTAGCAGCGAAGAAAGTCAGGGTGGGGGGCCCCCCGGGGACTGCTGGGGGGCCCCCTCGCGGTCGTACCCTTTTCTCCCCCCCCCCACAGGGGCCCCTCAGGGGGGCCCCCATACACTGCAGCAGACAGGGTACCAAGAGGAAAGGAGACAAATACAGAAACAAAGAAACAGCCTCGATCTGCTGCTGGCTTCTCCCGTTAGGGGGGAGGAGATAAGACCTTCTGCTGCTGCTGCTGCTGCTGCTGCTGTTGCGGCTCAGCAACAGCAGCAGCAGCAACAGCAGCAACTGCAGCAGCAGCAGCAGCAGCAGCAGCAGCAGGAACCAGAAGAGAAGAATGAAACAGCGCAGCAGCTGCGGCAGCAGCTGCAGCAGCTGCGGGCTGAGGGTCACCGTCGTGCTGCTCGTCTGAGGAGGGAGCGGCAGCAGCTGCAGCAGCAGCTAGCTGAGGTGCGGCAGCAGCAGCAAGTCTGGCTGCTGCGACAACGCACCAGCAGCAGCAGCAGCAGCAGCAACACCAGCAGCAGTGTAAACAGCAGCAACAGCAGCAGCAACAGCCTCAGCAGCAACAGCAACAGCAGCAGCAGCAACAGCAGCAGCAGCAGCAGCTCACAGGAGTCTATAGGGAGGCCCCTTCTACCAGCATCTATAGAGGGGGGCCCTGGGGGCCCCGGGGGGCCCCCTTTCCCCCTTTCTCTGCGCGTATGGTGCTGCTGCATGTATACGATCTGAGCCCGGCTATATCTAATTATATAAATAGGATAATGAGGCCCCTGGGGGCTGGGGCGTTTCATGCTGGGGTTGAGGTGTATGGACAGGAGTACTGCTTCGGCAAGACTGCGGGTATACAAAGGAGAGAGAGAGAGAGAGAGAGAGGGAGAGAGAGAGAGAGA